ATACCCGCATGGGGTCTAGTGGGGAAAATTGTTGGTGATTTTTTTACGGGGATGTAATGAATATTATAATTCTAGGGGGAAGGGGAATTTCGTAATGAAAATTATTCGTCGGGAATTTTTGGAAGCCTTCAAATTTCTGCTACCCAAAAATCCGAATTCAATAAAATGATATGAAACGATGAATTATATACAATAAAATCAGATGATAATTTATTATCAAAAAAGCTCTACTATATTAATATAAACGCAATTTCCCACTAATTTTTTTCTTCGACGAGTCCTTCATTTTATTTCATATATATTGCAACAAAGAATAAATCAACTGATGGGCATTTTCTTGACTCCTCGTTTCGTCGATGATTAATTTCCATCCATTTCCCCTCCCTTTCCGTTTCCCCGACGTCTCAGTACATCTCGGCACATCAAGAAGTCCGAGATACAATTAACTTTCGTCAGACCCCGCAGAGGTACCCCGTCAGGTACTTCTCCTTTTTTAGGACGCGAGAGACAGGGAAAGCCGGAAAGACGCTGAAAATTAGGGACAGGAGTGAGGTCGTGTGCTCGGCAACATCCGCCGGTCTTTCGTGGTCTTTCATCCGACCCACAAAAAAATATAAAAGGGACAACCCCGGAGCTCTCGCACAGGGGCTGCTCTCTGCCACACCCTTTAGTGTGCACATCCTTCCGCCCACCCTGGTGCCATGTCACTTTTTTGACGTCTACCTATCCTCGAGAATCGTCTTGTCTCGGCGGGTGCGTTACAGATACACCTTTTGTCTAGAATTTCTGAAACAGGTTGGCTTTTTAGCATTAGTTTCAGGCAGTCAACTGTCGTTGGAGAAGTCGAGTCGGGACGATTTTCCCCCCTCGCTCGCGATAATTGTCGCTTTCCTTCTTTGCTTCGCTCCGGAGAACAGGGGGTGAACGCCGCGATGACTTGGGGGACGGAGAGGTCAAATTGCTGAACAATTTTTTTACATCCGTATTGATCCGGTGAATTTGTAATGGGGATGGACATGAGCCTGGAGTCGTTTCAATGGAAATGTTTTTTGTGGGATCGTTAACATGTCTAATTATCAACTTTCTAGATGATAAAGTATTTATTTGGGTTGAGAAACCTTTTGTTTACATTAAGATTTACTTGAGAGAAATTAACAAATTTAGTAGAATGAAATTTAATGGCTTTTACAAAACTTCAATTCTTGGCAGGAAAAAATATAATTTGTTTTACGACAATAATTTGGTCTGGGAGAATTCCATAGGTTTATATCATGGAAAGAATACATTGACGAGGAGAGAATATTTTTTTCATAAAAAAATTGTCCCCTCGAAATTATTTAATTTTGTTGATGACAGTTTTCGGAAAGAAATTGTTGTTTTCTCTTGGAATTGTCGTTTGATCGATGAAAAGTATAAGTGTTTATTGAGCAAAGATATACACTAGAATTAATTTATTTACCCGAAAGACAAATGTCTCACGAGAACAATTACTACTACGAAATTTATCATGTTTTGGTGGAACCTTTTTTTTGTCTGCATATTTATTTGGTTTAAGTAGACCCGCGAATAAAAATGAAGTTCTAATTTCAATAGTATTTGAATAGATATTTTTTAAAATGTAAATACAGTTTATTTATTTCGAATAAACCATGTCTCCAGGAAAAATCCTAAAATTAATAACTTATAATTTGTAAATTTAAAAATCCAGTACCAAATTACGCAAAATTTTCAATCAACTGAAAACCTGAGAAATTATTTATCCGAATTCTCTTCATTTCTATTGATCATCTCATATTATCTCATATTATTTGATATCAAATAATGAAATTTAACGAAGAAATTCCTTGGAATTTTCATAGAAACACTTCAAACATTTCAAATTTATCAACCTCTCTGTTTTCAAACTCGCCATAAAAATGTGTGTCTGCGTAACCATTCAACGTTTCCCCTCGGAGGGTGGTGCCACCCCGAATCCCCAAACAAAACCCTTCACTCTCACTCTCCCGACCCCTCACTTCCCGGAATTCCCATTTCCAGACATCGAAAAAAGTGACACCCCCCGGGCGATGTATCGTCGCAAGATCCCGCCGTGATCCGCAAAAAGGTGGCGCTGATGCTAAATATAGGAAACCATTGCCGCCTCGGGTAGGCACACGGCAATATGCCGAGAGAACGCGGTCAAACGGATTGTTTGCGGGCGACGCCCACCCATATTCGCCCTGGCTTTTACAACCCAAGCAGTAAAGTACTAAAATTATGATCCATGCGCTTGTCACTGCTCCAGGCAACGCGAGTACTCGAGGCCAGTCGCCATGCAGCCCTCCCCCTTCCCCTCCCCTCCTCCTAACATCCAAAAAACGTCGGCCGAAAGTCAAACAGAGCAGCGAAACGCGAAATCCAAGGGGACAGCCAGTCCCTAAAATCGATTGAATTAAAGTGTCACTGAAAGGGTGGTCCTATCAGCTTTAGGACCAACTCCTCTTTGATTCTGAAGTAGACGTGTTCAACCAATTTCCCTCACTTCAACCCGCGGCTTAATTGAACGAGGCATTTTATTTAACACAGTCCCCCGCACTCTGGATACCAGCTATTTACCTCAATTACGTAATTTCACTGTATACAAAACGACCACACGAAAGAGAGAGGCCACGTATTATTCCAAGAATGGGGCATATACCACTCTCTAAACCCAGTGGTTGATCACTGTGGTATGTGTTGGCTTGCTTGATGACACGTGTTTGTGCACATTCAGTTTAGTATGTAATTAGCTGTGTAATTTTGCTGTATGGGCAGAGTCACCCCATTGGCCTAGTCCCAATATACCCCCATGAGCGTTGATGACACTGGAGACCTCGGTTTTCGCATCTAACGGAAGAACAAAACTCATCTTCGTGATGAAACTGTCCTTTCTTGTGGCCAGATAATTCCAAATTGCGACAGCAGCTCGAAGCGTCATTATCTCTCCTACATTTTACGTTCAGTTGACTGTCATGAATGGCGTGAAAGCGTCGAAGGGACTTTCTCCCCTACCTGTGTTGGACCTCAGAGGAGAGTTCCATCGGTGAGATCAAGCCTCAAAACTAAGGACAAGCGGAAAGAGTCTTCCCTTTCTTGATCCGTTGGTCCGATCGGTTCTGTTGTCGCTTTCGAGAAGGTTTGCTTGATGGCACCTGTTCGTGCACACGCAGCTTGGTATGTAATTAGCTGCGTAATTTTGCTGTATGGACAGAGTCACCCCATTGGCCTAGTCCCAATATACCCCCATGAGCGTTGATGACACTGGAGACCTCGGTTTTCGCATCTAACGGAAGAACAAAACTCATCTTCGTGATGAAACTGTCCTTTCTTGTGGCCAGATAATTCCAAATTGCGACAACAGCTCGAAGCGTCATTATCTCTCCTACATTTTACGTTCAGTTGACTGTCATGAATGGCGTGAAAGCGTCGAAGGGACTTTCTCCCCTACCTGTGTTGGACCTCAGAGGAGAGTTTCATCGGTGAGATCAAGCCTCAAAACTAAGGACAAGCGGAAAGAGTCTTCCCTTTCTGGATCCGTTGGTCCGATCGTTTCTGTTGTCACTTTGTAGAAGGATGCGTGAGTACGGCCCGGGGGTAATGCGGGTCTTCAGTCGTCACTTCCGGTTCTCACGGGAGGCGCAGGAGAGAGGAACGTTATGTAGAAAAACGACAAGACAATGTTTCGTGGTTTGTTATATGACTTGTGAAACAGAAGGATCGACAAGTGTGACGGCCTCTCTGTTAACACTGGCTGGAGAGATCAACGGTGAGTGTAAATTGCCCGCCGGCACTTGATGAGCATCAGATAAGACTAACAGTCAACAAGTTGTTACTTTCCCCAACTATCAGAAGACTTGTTACTAATTGCCAGGGCTGCCTCTGTCAATACAGCGATTTCCATATCCCTTGGCGTTGCTGAAGGAACCGGGGATCCTGAAGTGTCAAGGTCGACACTCGAGGGACACCCGTCCCTCCGACCAACATCCATCAAAATTGCTTGTCCTAATGGTAATAGCCACCTTGAACAGGTATGCCACTCGACAAGTGTTTGTGTACCCTCGGCAAGGTGATATGCAGATTCCGGACTGATGGCACCTGAGAGGAAACCGGGCAGAGTCACAGGCTGCTCCATATAATACAAAGCAAAATCAGTAATCCTCGCGGATCTGGGTAAACAAGGCATAAGCACAGGATTCAGAGTTGGACTTGCCGGTGGGCGTGGCGAGACCATACTTCTCAAATTCGGATCTCACACGTCTCCCCACTTCACTCATCCCACCCCACCTGTAAAAATACATGACCTCATTGGTCATGATCGCGTCTAATTCATTCAACATTCGTCCACTGGAGCCAACGCTGAAGCTGTTTCCTCCCGTATCAGCATCCAGATGTCTTTAGAAAAAAATGTCCCGATAAATTCCAGTGATTCCGGGGGCTGTAACCACAGACTAGTTTACCAAGCTTCCGGAATCAGTTTAGCAGCATGAAAAAGCTCGCTTCCTCGATAACACACGTGGAAGCACCAGAAAAAGGCGCAGGATGGAGCTTAGAAAAAAAATCTCCCACCAGTTGGATTTTCACGTATGGGAGATACTCCGGCTACCACAGGAGATACGACCCCCGGCGATGAGGATGTCGTGTGACGATCGTTGCTGGGATTCAGGTAAGGCGAGAACAGCTTCTCCACTTGTCCCTCTGGGTATAGCAGTGGGCGGAGACGGATCGCGATCAACGCCTGCTGGATACCATAATGGCCTCCGAGGATCCAATTGTTCGGTCGGACGTCATGGCGCCCCGGGTGGGGAGAGCCAGCGCGGACCAATCGGGCGCGAGCGCTGCGGCGCAGTGGGCGGAGTCGACGGTGGCGGTACGCAGCGGACACCAGGTGAACCGGATGAACGAGCTCGGGGAGAGGCTCAGGCTTCATTATGTATCATTATACCGGTCCGCGCCGCGCGGTGTGCACTGCAGTTACTGGCAAAGACGCGCGTGTGTGGTTCCCCTTGTTTTCAGCCTTACCTTCTAAACGCTACGACGTGCTCAAGCGAAAAATCGTGAACGTGACGCTTATATTCGATTCTTGTTGCTCCCTCTGATTCCTCAACAACATACGTGACGGTCTAATACTGGTGGATATCGTTGTTTTTTTTTCTTTATCTTGATTTTTTTGTTCTGTTGGTTATTTTTCTTTTTTGAAAAAAAAAAAAAAACGGGTGAAAAAAAGCTCAGTGATAAGTTTGGTGCCGAGAATCTTGGATATATCAATCGTGGAACTCCAGTGAACCGAGACAAGTTGATCGGTTTGGCGGATTGTTCTCCTGGTGGATTCACTGGAGTAAGTCAGGAGACAGTTGAGGTGTCAATAGTGCCTGAACACTGACGGATTACTTGGATTGATGTTGATAATTGGGCAGTGATTTGTCCAGAGTGTCATCTTGGTGAAAATTGGAGGGATTATCGGGTTTAGGGTTGAAAGTGAATTCGGTGATTCACGCGGCTGTTTGCCGACGGCAATTATCGCAAATGGCTGGTACGTGAATGCTAGTTATACACCGTGGATACCTCTGATGACCCTTCAATCTAGCACTTGTGATAATCACTATTGATTATTTTTGGATTCTCTTTTGGTGAATACCAACATTCGCCCCTGGCGCTTCAAGAAGTGAATACTGTGATTAAAATTATTATTTTTAATCGATTAATTGCACTGTGATAACGACTCATCGAGAACATGTGGAGATCACCAGTTATCCGCGAAGCTCCAACTGACATCCGGACGATAGCGAGCTGACGCAGGGCGTTCGGACAATTGTTCATCGAATTGATAATCAAAGCTTGAAATTAGGATTAATCGCGTGTGAAGGAGTGGACTTGAGGCATCCGTCGGGTGTTGATGTGTGTGACAAGTGTCCAGTGACATGACAGCCGTGTCCCCAAGGAATAACACCATAAATCAAAGCATCGGCATCGATTCGTGTCAGTGATTTATCGAAAACCAATCGGTGACAGATGCCCAAGAGGACCAGTTGGACCAGCGGTGATACGAAAATTTCCCAAATAATCTAGTTATTTTAAACCCTTCGAGAAGACCGCCGACGCGCAAGCTCGGCAGGCCCCAAGATTCGGGCTCCGTGCGGCTTCAGGGTCGCCGCGACGTCGGCAAGTGCCGTCTACGGCGTCGACGTCGCTACTAAGGTGGAACGTCCGGGCAGCACGACGACGCTCAATTTCACGGATCTGGGGAGCCCATTCGGGGCGGGCGACCCCTGTCCGTCGAGTACCCCGACCCCCAACAGCATGTCGGGCGGTGGTGGACCAACATCTGGTGGTGGTGGTACAACCACCGGTGCTGGGGCTAATTCCGATATGGAGCAGCATTTACACCACGGAATTGGCTCAGTCACACCAGGACCACCTGGTAACGGGGGTGACAGTGCGTCTAGTACACCAGTATCGCAGTCTGGTAAAAGTGCATTCATCGAATTGCAGCACAATAATCTTTACAATCCAGCGAGTTTGAGGGGTGGCTACCCTGGTGGACACAATGTGTCGGGTGGCCATCAGTTCTCCCATCAAGTTGGCTCACTCAGTCATCAGGGTAGTGGTCCGGGTAGTGGTAATCAGCAGCATGCCGATGCTGGCTTTCCAAGCCCAAGATCGGCGCTTGCGGGCTATCCCTTTGCACCCATGCACCAGCATAATTATGGATATCATCTTGGTTCATATGCACCACAGTGTCCCTCACCGCCCAAGGACGGTGAGTACCCCAACTGTATGTATTCGCAGACATTTTTTCATACCTTATGTAGTTTTTAAATTCTCAAATTTTTAATGATACAACTAAATTAATAAGTTGCACGAAAAAAAAATTACTTGATTCAAGTATACTTAATACTTGATTCAAGTATTTTTTTCCGTGTGGGACAACTGAAGACGCTTTCCTTCCGTCAACGTGCGTCAATATAAAGAATAGTACATAATTGAGTCAAGTATACTTTATGCTTGAATCAAGAATAATATATACTTGAATCAAGTATTTTTATTCCGTGTGGGACAACTGAAGATGCTGTCCTTCCGTCAACGTGCGTCAATATCAAGAATAATATATAATTGAATCAAGTATACTTAATACTTGAATCAAGTACAATATATTTAAATAAAGCATAAAATATACTTGATTCACGTTTTTTTTCCGTGTGGGAGAATTGAAGCCGCTGTTGACCTTCCGTCAACGTGCGTCAATATCAAGAATAAAATATAATTGAATCAAGTATACTTTATACTTGAATCAAGTACAATATATTTAAATAAAGCATAAAATATACTTGATTCACGTTTTTTTTCCGTGTGGGAGAATTGAAGCCGCTGTTGACCTTCCGTCAACGTGCGTCAATATCAAGAATAAGTCAATATTAAGTATACTTGAATCAAGTATACTTAATACTTGAATCAAGTACAATATATTTAAATAAAGCATAATATACTTGATTCACGTTTTTTTTCCGTGTGGGACAATTGAAGCCGCTGATGACCTTCCGTCATCGTGCGTCAATATCAAGAATAATATATAATTGAATCAAGTATACTTTATACTTGAATCAAGTACAATATATTTAAATAAAGCATAATATACTTGATTCACGTTTTTTTCCGTGTGGGACAATTGAAGCCGCTGATGACCTTCCGTCAACGTGCGTCAATATCAAGAATACTATATAATTGAATCAAGTATATTATGCTTTATTTAAATATATTGTACTTGATTCAAGTATTTTTTTCCGTGTGGGAGAATTGAAGCCGCTGTTGACCTTCCGTCAACGTGCGTCAATATCAAGAATAATATATAATTGAATCAAGTATATTTTATACTTGAATCAAGAATAATATATACTTGAATCAAGTACAATATACTTAAATCAAGCATAAAATATACTTGAATCAATTTTTTTTTCCGTGTGGGACAACTGAAGACGCTGTCCTTCCGTCAACTTGCAAACACCAATCTCAAGTTCCAAAACCAATAAGTTGTGCATAAACAAGAATAATGCTCTTCCATTAAAAAAATTACCTCTCAAAGTTCGATTTGTTCGATATGTTGATAGTTTGTTTACTTACTCCTCCGTCTATGCCCGTACTTGACTATTCCCGGAGGGGACGACGGCATTGCATTTCACAAATGCCTCGCGAATTCAATAAAAACGGATGATCTAATCAATAACTAAACAGCCGATTGAAACGTTATCCACATCTGTCGTTTCGTCTTTCAACTTCACTATCATAACATTCGAGCGCGGTGCGTGCACAAGCTCACCCTGCAACGTCTCCTCTCACGGTGCATGCTCGCAAACTTCAACGAGGGTGTGTTACATGTGAAACAAGGGTCGTGCAATTGTTTTTTCCATTTATTTTCTACTTTACTAGAAACGAGGCGGGGGACGCACTATCGGCGCCGGAGCGTCTGCCGGTTTTTCTACGTAAAGAGGGTTGTGTGTTCCCCCGATTAACCGTTCCCTTGTCAGGGGAAGACATCTACGGGGATACTTTATCGAACGGTTCCGTGGGCATGAGAACCTATCGAAAAATCGTTGAGTTTCTTCTCTGAAAAAAGTGCCTCCTACTCTAATTGTAACGAGGGAAAAAATATCCAGCGGGGGGTGGTATGGTGTATCATAAAACCTGTTCAAGAATACGAGAGCGCATCAACCTCCAGCGGTGAATAAAAGAAAAGAAGGAAAGAATGAAATAAAGGTGATGTTGAAGCCAGCGGGACAGGGGGGGAGAGTGAGCAAGGGAAGAGGGGAAACACCCGAAATATAAAAAAGAAAACGGAAGAATCTGGAGTAGCAGGTATAGTGGTTTGTGCCGGCGGTCGACGGCCCTGCGCGTGGAAAAGAAGAAATGCCACCCGAAAAGAGAATAAAGATATACGACAGGGGGGGAGGGCCTTTTTTCGAATGTGGGGGGTGTAGGGGAGCCTCCGGATGCCGCAGAATTCCCGCAAAACGGTAAAACTCGGGGAACATTCAGATGTGTTAGACAAAAAGAAACCGCATCGTTGAAGAGGTTGGGAAAATCAACAGATCGGACGCGATGCAAAATTTGTTTCTGAATTTGAGATATTTAATGGAGAATATTGTTGGCGGTGAAAACTTGAGGAGGGAAAATTGACAAAAAATAGTTTATGGTTTGTGATGATTTGGATATTTTTTGGATGAAAGGGATGAACATTCAAATGAAGAATCCGTCATCTTAGAAATAACTTTTCCTCATTTTGCCAATCATATCAAATTTTCAAACAAGAAGGGTTTTGCTTTTCATTTAAAAAATCAGCGATTTTTTATACGAATTGATCACGACTGTTTGATCAGTCCTGTATTAAATCCAAATAATTCAGAATTCCCGCAAAACGATAAAACTCGGAGAACATTCAGATATGAAGACTTGATCAGAAAAAAATGACAAGAAATAGTTTTTTTTTTCTTATTAAAAAAATACATTATGATTTGCGATGTTTCTGATATTTTTTGGATGAAAGAGGCGAACATTCAAATGAAGAATCCATAATTATAGAAATAACTACGCCTCATTTTTCCAATCATAAAATTTTCAAACAAGAAAAATTTCGCTTTTTATTTTAAAAAATCTGCGATCATCTGCGAAAACTATCATTATATTTTACTGAAAAGAATTATTATTATTTCAAATAATTGATTTTTCAGTTTTATAACTATAACATTTTATTATTATTATTATTATTATTATTATTATTATTATTATTATTATATATATACTACTGTATATCGCCACCGTCCTTCTACCGGTAAATATTATTAAAAACTATCATTATATTTATCCGTCCTACATTAAACCCAACTGCAAATAAACCCAAAAAGCTCATCCCAGTTTCCACCAGCTGGAAAATCTGTTTCCGCGTGAATCAAGCCTACCTCACCTCGCGCAACACCAGCAATCAACCCTAATTACATCATTTGAATTTATAACGATGTCAGTAATTACCCGAGCAGTAGCCTGAGACATGTCACGTGTTGTGAGCATTGTCATCCACTTGATCGCCGGAGAGCCATCCAGACGATCATAATGAACTAACACTCGGCCCCGTTCCTTTCCTCATGACAACCACCCCGACACCCCACGTCATATTTTCCCTCAAAACCAAAAGAGGGGTTGTAAAATAACAGGTGACATATGATACACCAAGTAACGAGAATGGCTAACCATTCAGCCCGAGCCAAAATAGCATAGTCTTGATAACGAGTGTCCACGACTCTCATTACACGATTCAGCCTACAACTCGATAACTTTCATCCCTCTCGAGAATGACCAGTTTTCGAGGTAAAGAACAGGAGAGGGTGCCCTCGCACTGTTAAAACGACTAGACAACGGCTATGGAATAGTCAGAAGGGAGTAAAGTTTCAAGGAGTTGAATGCTGGTGGGCACACGCAATCCTTTTCACTCCCCCATGCCAATTCCGTTAATTCGTAATGCATGAAGAGACAACTGCCATGTCGTACCAGATAACTGCTAACCCATGCTACTCACCCAACTAATGCCGATGAAATCATATTCCCTGAGCTTTCAATGTACATTTTCCCCTCCTGTTTTAGTTATATATAGAGTTTCAACTGACAGTGCGATTTCCACGTGTGCCATCAAGTTTCAGACAAGCTTGTGGTTATACTCAAACACTTTTTTTCACGAGAATGAAAGGGTTCAGTGGAAACTTTTCAACAATAATTTTTTTTCAGTTGACAATTTTACACTGTAATCCAGGGAGAGAGGGCTGCCTCAACTGAAAGGCGTTCGTCATTTATTCATTCCCTAATTCGTGGCTCCATTCGTTAATTCACCGCGTTTTTTGTCCTCAACTGCGCTTCGGCTCTTTAACTTAACGACATTGAAGGCTATGGTTATCGTCGCGCCGAATCACCGGAAATTGCCGAATCGTTCTTTGTTATGAAACAAAAAAAGCTCGTCGAGTGTCATTGTCAAGCTGGTCCCCCTGGTTTTCAATAATTTACGTCACTTCTTTTTCATTCCGCGAAAACAACACTGACCATCGCGGTGAATCACTCCCGCCGCGAGCGCGCATTGTCATCAAGCCGTTGCGATTATTCCAGTTCAGAGTACCTCTGGAAGCTTTCCCATATTACGCACGAGTGACACTGACCAACAGGCTCATTAATCACCCTCGCCTGAAAAATTAAATCTCCGATGACAATTCATCACACCAGCCCGCGATTACGAGCCTATCACTCCTCACCAACAATTCCTCACGATGAGAAACCCTCTCGTTGAGGTAAACTCCGCACGCGAGGTGAGAATGAAAAATGCGTCCGATAAAATGAATTTCATAAATTAACCCCGAAGCATTGAATAATCATGATAACCAGGAGGATGTGTGTATTCCGCTGGTGATAAGCGCCACCCCGGCGCCACCTGGATCACCGCTCTCCGTAAAATTCCCGGCGAACCCTCGGCATGCGGCATACCAATGGGCACACCACCGCAATGCCCCACGTTTGATTAATTAAATAATAAATATATCACATCGCAATCGTGATTCGGTTAATTGCCATTGAGCACGCCATTGTTTGCGCATCCTCCTCAGCAAGTTTCTCCCTTCCAACAATTGGCAAACAGCCTTTGCACGCGCCATCAGCTTCTCTCCCCGATAAAGACACGACATTTCAAGATTTCTGTTTACATCTGCATACAGCATTTGACAATAGTCCGCAATCAGCGCGCCACATGTACAACATCACATTGTCCTTGGCCATTAGCTGCAGAAAACACGTATTCTGATAATCTCAGAAGACACCAGCGGTGCGCATTGAATGAAAAGTTGTACTAATACAGCAACTCCAAAGCGATTTCCGTGTAAACACTCCCGTGGAATTGAATTCTTCATATTCAACGGTGTTGTTCTACCTTTGGTAGAGATTCGCTGATGGGATAAGCTGCTAGGGAGGCTTCAGCAAACGTTGAAGCGTCGGCGGTAGGCCGTAGCGAAAGAGAGGAGTATATGACAGAATGGTGGGACCACCAAGCTTCTCCCTTCCAACAATTGGCAAGCAGCTTTTGCACGCGCCATCAGCTTCTCTCCCCGATAAAGACACGACATTTCAAGATTTCTGTTTACATCTGCATACAGCATTTGACAATAGTCCGCAATCAGCGCGCCACATGTACAACATCACATTGTCCTTGGCCATTAGCTGCAGAAAACACGTATTCTGATAATCTCAGAAGACACCAGCGGTGCGCATTGAATGAAAAGTTGTACTAATACAGCAACTCCAAAGCGATTTCCGTGTAAACACTCCCGTGGAATTGAATTCTTCATATTCAACGGTGTTGTTCTACCTTTGGTAGAGATTCGCTGATGGGATAAGCTGCTAGGGAGGCTTCAGCAAACGTTGAAGCGTCGGCGGTAGGCCGTAGCGAAAGAGAGGAGTATATGACAGAATGGTGGGACCACCAAGCTTCTCCCTTCCAACAATTGGCAAGCAGCTTTTGCACGCGCCATCAGCTTCTCTCCCCGATAAAGACACGACATTTCAAGATTTCTGTTTACATCTGCATACAGCATTTGACAATAGTCCGCAATCAGCGCGCCACATGTACAACATCACATTGTCCTTGGCCATTAGCTGCAGAAAACACGTATTCTGATAATCTCAGAAGACACCAGCGGTGCGCATTGAATGAAAAGTTGTACTAATACAGCAACTCCAAAGCGATTTCCGTGTAAACACTCCCGTGGAATTGAATTCTTCATATTCAACGGTGTTGTTCTACCTTTGGTAGAGATTCGCTGATGGGATAAGCTGCTAGGGAGGCTTCAGCAAACGTTGAAGCGTCGGCGGTAGGCCGTAGCGAAAGAGAGGAGTATATGGATAGAATGGTGTGGCCTCCCTCAAGTGGTTTTCAACTTGGTATTATAAAAGGAGAATCGTGCGAGGGGATCGGGTAGCGATCGCGTGATTTTCCACCTCGAGAGTGTACACGAGCGGTTAAACCTCGGCGCCATGGCAAACATATTCGCGAACGCCTTGGCTGTACGTATCGGCAAGCTAGATTTTATCGGGCCTTTCGAAGGCATCATGCCTTATTCTTGGTACTTGGGGGATTCGAGTTGTTGTTGTTACTTTACGTTAGTACAATGTCGTAGTCTGACGTGTGTTCGGCGTCAAGGAGCTGTAGGGCTGTTGGTAATTTGGGGGCTATCATGTGTGACTGCTTCTACCTTTTTCGGGGGCATGAGGCATGGGAAGATTCTCGGGGGAATCCAATTAGCGCATGGGAATTACCCGAGCGAAGGGCCTTCGGGAAAATGGTCACTGGTCACTGGATCCTTAACCTGCTACTTGGCCAAATTAATCTTCAACGGTCGCAGGAACAATGGGCTTGGCTTCCTCCTACGGGACTAGATGATGGATCAGGTATTAAATGCTTGTTTTTACAAGGATTAGGACTCTTTCTTCTTGGCATTAGCTACTTGACGGTTGAGCTATCCCCAGGATTTTTCGACGTCTGCGGCTTGAGATCTTCAGATTTGCGCGAAAGTCGTGTTTCCCCCCTTTTTGCTGCCGCGATCTGGCGATTCTTATCGGGAAAAAGTTAATGAAAAATTTTCCTTTGCGGCCGTTTTTTCACGCGAATATTCATGATAACGTGACGGACAAATGGGCAGTTGTCAGGTGTGATCTGATTGCTGGAGGTGATGAATGTCCATTAATGTGATTTTCTTCAGTGTCATAAATCTCCATCTCCCGTGGAATCCCCATTCAAGCTGGATGTTATGTTCACTCCGCAAACATTAAATCCGGGAACAATAACGAGTGAATCGACACTTTCATCGTGACAACATCGTAATACTCCTGGGGTAATTGCCCGTAGTAATTTCGTGATGAACGGTAATTAATTAACGAGGCCGATTAAATCGTGCCCACGTGAGGCCTCCGTAGAGGTGTATGCAGCCACGAGTATTATACTAGGGGGTTTTTTATATGCCTCGGAGGCTAGAGATGCATGCGTCCAAGAGTAGTTGCTATTGCAGTGGTGAATTTAAACAGGATAAAAACGTACTGAGGAGGGAGCTCGGGAGAACCGTAGACCGCTCCCACTGGGCTGCCATTCTTGGTTCCCTATCGATTATTCTTAACATTTCTTCGCACGCCCTCGCATCGTTAGCCTCATCTAGGGAGGGATATTGTGGCAGGCCTTGTTAAATTTGATGCATAACTATTCCGTTATGTGGATACCGTAGGTCTTTCATTCAATGAGAAAATTACATACTTAAATTGGGAATTGTTCTTCATTCGGAACAGATTATTAGATCTTTTCCCAATTTTTGCGAGTGCATCTGCTTCCAAAACTTCCTTCTTAATTATCAAATATGGGTGTTTCAATTCAAGGATGATTATTTCAATAAAGAAAATAACAATGATAATAATAACAACATTTTAAATAATATTTAAAATTTTTTTTTTTTATAATACATAAAATATAATTTTTATAAAAAATATTATATTATTTATATATATATATATAGGGGAGGGTGGGGCAAAACGGCCCCCCTTCAATTGTCAATAACTTGTGAATGACATTGTGAAAATTCCCATTTTCAACTTCATTTTGAAGATCATTTTCCATTCTTCAAAACGAACTCTAACTCATCCTAATCGGATTATTGAATCGGAAAATATTGACGATTGAAGGGGGGCCGTTTTGCCCCATCCTCCCCTGTTAAAATATATTAAAAATATAATGTATTATTTTAAATATTCAAATAATATAAAAATAATATTGTTTCCGTGATTAGTTTAATTTCTTTTGTTCTCCCCACAATTTTTAAAATTTTATTTTAACTTATTCCTCCCCAAGACTTGGACGCTGATGGTTGATATCAGGGTGGTGTATGTTTACAGACCTCTCACCACTCGGCGACAAAGGCGGTAGCCTTGTCGATGAGCTTGGCGGCGGTGGCGGTGGATCACTGAGAAACGGCAAAGGAAAGAAAATGAGAAAACCAAGGACTATCTACAGTAGTCTTCAACTCCAACAACTCAACAGGCGGTTCCAGAGGACACAGTACCTAGCGTTACCTGAGAGAGCTGAATTAGCAGCGAGTCTAGGACTGACGCAGACACAGGTGAGTGGCCAAATATTATTCTTTCCGCCGAGGGATGAGGCGATGTTGACAGCGATGAAATGATAATGGGCATATCATGGCCGGAAATCTTGCGGCAGTGGGGGGTAAACATTTTGTGGTTATAGACAATTTCATTATGGATAGCACAACAAACAAGTGGAGTACGTGTGCTGTGTGCTGTAGAATGAGGGATACACGGCAAACTTTTGCACTAGTTTGTTTTTGGGATTTAGATGTTAGTTGGGTATACATGAAGAGGCCTGATTTGTTGAGTACACAAAGGTTTAATGAATGGTTCGATAAAGGAATCCGTAGAAAGGGCCGTCATAATTTGCTTTACACTGATCGAAATCATCAGCAGCGATGCTGTTTCGCAAATCATTCGGATTTGGCCGCATCGTATTACGAAAACCGCGCAATACAACACCACTGGGGGGGCATCTGTCAATATTATCGGCACAAATGACTCCCGGTAAATCACAAATTCACCACGCCCTGGACATCGAGGATAGGGTTGCTTCGAGAGAGTGTCCGGTGAACGTCTCACTCCCAGCGCAGTGGCCAGTCTAACGAGCCAGCTATAAATTTTCTAGCAGGTCATCCGAGCCAGTTTCCCTGGTGCTTTCACTCTTTCCATAATCCCCGTACTTTTCCTCATCCACAGCCCTTCGCCGAACTCGTTGTTACATCAAATTGATACGTAAACTAATGCACAACTGAGACTCAAGTGAATCAGATCAGGATCAACTTGATCATTACGTGAATGGAGCTCAGTGATTTGGTCTGGCAAACAAGTACGTGTAATGCAGCCTTTGGTGGATGTCATAGGAGGGGTTGTTGGAACCGGATAATTTCATTAGTCCCCCTTTCTGAATCAGCGCTCCCCCCGTTGGCTAAACTTGTGCGCCCACTGTGCACAGCAGCCCGCCAGATGAGAAAATCCAAACAATCATCTACCTCGTTGCTTATTTGCTTCGAGGAGTGGTGACTAGCACATGCCGTGAATAATCCGTAATAGGCCAATCAAGCCGAGCGAATGTCTTACCCAGCTACCGGCGAACTCGAGTCTCTCGTCAACCTGAGCCTCAATACTCCGTCATCCACACCCACATCGCTCGGCATCTGTGTTCTCTTATGAATCCGTCAGTCGATGAAACTTCCTTCTGATTCACGCAGAGGCTTTCCAGGGTTTTGATGCTTGGCTTTTGTCTCGTGGCTTTTCTTTTTCAGTGGCCTCCGGCCATCGCCAGCTCGAGGACAGCAGCGGTAGCAGAGTGATCTCTTGCGCTCTGCATGAGCTCACACACACGTAACACAGACACCAGGACACTTTACTCGTTTTCTTGATCGCTCCTGCCAAGCCACCTTGGGCGTGGTGCTCGGGTTTTTTTCTTTCTGCTTTATCATATTTTTTTTCCTCCTTTGTACCTGCCGGTAAAACCCTCTTGCAAGCCCATTGGCTGGAGTTTTCACAGCGCGATGCCTGTTCGACGATGTTTTATTTGATCAGAAAATATTTAATCGCACGATCTTCAGTGCTGGCTGTCCCCGGTCTACAGTCAACCATTATCGACGCATTCGACAATACTAATAGAGCTACCTGGTACGTTTCCTATCTGCGTTGTATCTGTTCATTGGTCGCATACGGAGTATACGTTCAGCATTGAGACCCTGCGGTGTGTGTATGCACGCAGCATAAATGGGAAAGTTTTGCCTGCTGGCACGCGATGCAAAATGTCGTCGGTGGCCTTTTTTTTCTTCTACGTGACACGATATTATGGGGCATACCTGTTTTCCCAAGTTTTACAGGAAACGGGAGGGATTCCTTTTTTGTTTTTAATTGGAAAAAGTATTTGCATTGATTAAAGGTATTTTTAGAAAGTTGCCGGGTGATTTTCGAGATGATGAAAATGTCAGTTTCGGTATGAATATTTCAATTCCTGTTTGCATGTTAATTAGGGTGGTGATGGAAAATTGAGGATGGGGGGAGGCGGGGGTTGGGATTAATCGGGGATCGAGACTGGGAGACGGCGCGGGAAGTAGAATTATTGGATCTTGTGTGGGAAGATTGTTTCAAGCTTGACGCGGGGTAACGACGGCTTGGCGAGGCGAATCTGATGGTTTGTCGTATGCTCGGGACGACAGGCTATGAAAGGCTTGATGAGATGAAAGTGTTTTAGGATTTTTTCAGATTAAAAAAAATCTGTTAGTTGTTTTCGGAGGTGATGTGGTTCTGAGAATTTCCCATATGGAAATAAATATACTTGAATTGAGTTGAAAATATACTTGAATCAAGTATATTTTATACTCAATTCAATTTTTTTTCCGTGCAGTCAACGATTCAGTTGCACCAAACGAGGCTTCGTAACTGTTACCGCGATTCGTTAATGGTTAACGAATCGTGGTAATAGTTGAAAAGTCTCGTTTGGTTCGACTAAACCGTTCTAGCAGTGCTAGAAGTGCTAGTTCAACTCCTCTGACACAGCGAACCGTAAAATTCAATTATTAAAAAAATTATAATTTCAGTTATTATCAAAATCCAGTGTTATTTTCAATTTAAAAAAATCTTTTGTCATTTTTTATGAGCACTTGCTCACCGCTGATTGCTCTCATTAATCCTCTCGGACACATGCCATCCAAGTTGAATGTTTTCAAATATTTTTGATAACTGGCGCACGAAATTTCAGAAAATCTAGAGCACGCGACCCTCACAAGCAACTATTCGAAACACCACTCGGCAACTTTAATACCTGACATTTTCTTCTGTGCCAAGGAAGTGTACACTGGGAAATAACATTGTTCTGTGGTAGTCTAGTTATTCGGCATGTAGAGTAGTGTGAGACACCTAAATAATTCATACTTTGGACTGGAAATAATGTGGAGTCAAAAAACCTGTTACAGCTGTGGTAAATGGAAAAACAATGCAATGTGCGAGCCGATGCTTTGATACATTGACGAGAGGGAATATGGAGTATAGAGTGGGAGGGCGGTAATTATTTTCACGCATACGCATTCGACGGACCTCCCAGATTGTCCTCGGTAATTACATACCCGGAAATTATATTGAAAATGGATTATTTATTTTTTATGGTAAAAATAAATACAATTGAATTCCATTCCCCTACACTGATGGATAGTTTTTGAAATTTCATGGAACATGTTGCAGTAAATCTCGTGAGAGTGACGTTGTGTCGGATTTAGGGAAAAAATGATTTGGAACATGAATATTCAGAAATAAAATAACATAAATTTTCCATTTTCCCCTGAATTTTCCTGATTTTTCTGAATTTTCACAGAATAATTCAACTAAAAAATCAATTATTTTATTGATTTCCAGGTCATTCGAACAGAAAATCCATAGAATATTTCGTTTTTCAATAACAAGATTTCCTGAAATTTCAATGGAACTTAAACACAATCAAAATTTCCGGAATGTGCAGATTTTGTTTAATTTTTAATATTCAAAAACAATTCTTGTTCCAAAGGTCTCAAAATTAGGAAAATTTCATGGAAAATTGAAAATAAGATGACCCGTGTTGCCCCAAGCCTTTTCTTGATTCCGGGAAAATATTTTTTAAATCGAAAAATTCCTGTAAAAAAAATGATAATATTTCTTCCTTCAATTCCTCACGTCATTCACCTCCTGAACTTCTCCATCAGCTGACTCCCCCACCCGGCGTATTACCCCAAAAAAACTCGAAAAACCCCGGCAAAAACTGATTGAATTACGGTTATCGTTCCGAAAAAAGGCAGCTCATGGGGATGAAAAAAGAGTGAGCCTGGATAAAGATAAGCCCGGAGGGTACACGAGGGGTCAGAGCCTGGATAAAGATGAAGGGAGGAGAAGGAGAGAAAATCCCACTGTGGGCATGCGAGTCAAGCCAATGGGGTCCCGTGTGCCAAGAGGAAGGGGGTAACACACATTATTTCAATGTTGGCAGTAATGCCTGTTATTAAGCGATGATAATGATTGGTATTATCGCGGGTAGGGTAGCAGGACTGGTAGCAACGGATATAAATCATCCGTTACTTCCTTCTCTCGTCTCTTGCACTCGCCTGGGCCACACTCAAACTCCTCACTTCTGGTTGGTATATCACAGAAATGAAGGTAAAACCGTTTGATGGAGATTCAAAGTGTATTCCAACTTGCGTGAAAACTTCATGCCGAGGAGCTGTAAATAACAGGCCTGACGTCTGCATGTAACTGCGGCTGGATGTGAAGTTCCAACTATTGGAAATTCAAGTGCCTGTGGCTTTTGATCTCGCAGGCAGAGAGGAATTCTCACAATACTTTCAGGAGATTTTTGAAGAGCTTGAATTCCTTGAAAACAGCGGGGTTGTCGCGAACATGAAGAGTTGGGTGGGGGGGNGGGGGGGGGGGGGGGGGGTCGATTAGTTTTGGGGAAACAGGAATTTTTTGGGGTCGATCACCATTGAAGTTCCAGCTGATATAATTTATCTAGCCATCACTCCGCGAATAATTGATGATTTTGAGATTTTAAGATCCCAAAAATGAAGAAAATGAAAAAAATTAAATGAATAATAATGAATCTGACGTTTTTAGTGCCTGAAAAAAATCTACAAAAAATGTATGAAATTCAGACATTCGTTTTTCCTGTGAAATTCCGGAAATTTTTATCGCGTTCAAGTTCCACTGAAATTCCAGGAAATCTTGTCATTGAGAAATGAAATATTCCATTGATTTTCTGCTCACATGATCTAAAAATCAATAAAATACTTGATTTTTCAGTTCAATTGTTCTGTGAAAATTCCGAACAATCAGGACAATTCAGGGAAAAATTAAAAATTCATGTAATTTTATCGCCCCTGAAATTCATAACTATTTTTCCCTAAATCCGATTCAATGTCACTCTCACGAGATTTCCTATGAAATCTTCCACGAAATTTCAAAAAATAAATTTTTCCATCGAGTTGTTTTTAAAAAATTGAATGATATCGATCGATTCCCACGAAAATCGCCACACGAATTCTCATGCCGT